TTTAAGGTGGTCGCTTCATAAAGAGTCAACTGTTAGGTGTCTCTAGGCAGTATTCTCCATGTGTGTTTGCTTGGTTCTGATGGTCTATTATGACAAGCCAAGGCATTGAACCCCAAAAACAGTTAGTAAAAGACACAATGTCAAATAGACTTATCACATTAGCTGAAATATAATATATGCACTTAAAAAAAAAAGGTATATTGCTAGGTGCCTGTGACTCACACTTACAATCCTAGCTACTTGGATTGAGAGGATCACCATTCAAGGCCAGCCTGAGCAAATCGTTCATGAGACCCAATCTCCAAAAACAACCAAGCAAAATGGACTGGAGGTGTGTCTTAAGTGATAGAGTGCCTGCTTTGCAAGTGCAAAGCCCTGAGTTTAAACACCATTCCCCCACAAAAATTGTATAATCATGCAAAAAATAAAAACAAAACATGTAACTAATTGTGATCAGGTTCTTCATAAGTTTTGATAATGAAACTTTTGATAAAAAAATAGAGATTAAGGATACTTATGGGCAATTTAAGATAGGTATAGAGTCATTGGAGAGAAAAGGACAACAACAACAACAAAAAAACACAATTTGACTTCCATCAAAATGTGCTTAGCTCTGGCTTGGTCTAGGCTCAATTCTGTGGACCAGGAAAATGTGTAGATGGTGAGCATTTGGAGCTGCATACCCTTCTACATAGATGCACAGAGGGTGACGTGTACAAATGCACGATTAGCAGATGAAAACTATGTGTTGAACAAGTTTGTTCTGCAGCACTAATTTGTTGATTGGCACTTAACTTTTTAGATACTTATTTCTGAAGGACTGAATCAGAAAGTCTTTGTACTTCCCCAAAAATAACTCACAGCTAAGGATGAATTAATTCATACAAGTTTCTGTCTTCAATGTTATTGCCTTGTCATACACACATTCACAGGATTAGGCCTGAGGAATAAGAGTAACAAAAGCAAATAACTCAATCAAGGGAAGATAGTAATTGAAGTGTTTCAGATATGTTATTTGATTTTCCCCCCAATTATTACTTGTCAAAATAATATTGTGGATTAGGTGTGGTGGCTGATGCCTATAATCTGAGCTATTCAGATTGGAAAGTTAGTGAGACCCCCATATCAACAATAGTGATAAATGTCTGTAATCCTTGCTTAGCTATGTGGGAGAGGTAAGTAGGAGGTCATGGTCTGAGGTTGGCTCCAGGTAGAAAACACAAGACTTTACTATCTGAAAAATAACTAAAGCAAATAAGCTTGAGTGCATGGCTCAAGTATAGAGCTCCTACCTTGCAAGTATAAGGTATTGAAGTCAAACTCTATTACTGCCAAAAAACAAAAAAGGATTGTATATTTACTGAGGGAAAGCAAAGAATGTATAATTGTTGAAAGGGAAGAAAAATATATTTTGATGTAAAATGCATTTGATAAAGAACTTTATTTTTAAGTAGACAATTGTATGAAGTCAGGGGTTGCAGCAATATGAGGAATTAATGTCATTGTTTGAAAGTAGCACACCATTGTAATAGCGATCTTTTTAAGCTATAGCCTGAAGGCAAATAGTGCTGAACCAGATATTCAGAAAGATCAATTGAGAAGTTTGATAGTGGGTTTAGGGCAGGAAACACATCTATTTATTTCTTTCAGAATGGAACTTAACCGTGGTCCTTAACTGAAAGAAGAACATAGACTCCAAATAAGTAGCTTAAAGTTTAAATAAACTTTTAAACTTCATCACAGATCAATCTCAATATTTTGTTGTAGTTTCAATGCAAAGGTTGCAATATATAAAGAAATAAGGGGAATGAAAGAAAAATAGCACCAGTCATGAATTGCTTTTAATTTTACAACACCTGGATGTTTAGGCTGAGAATTTTGTCATAGCACCAAACATCCTCCCTCTTTTTTTAGTCAGACAGTTCAAGTGATGTTGAAAATAAACAAAAGCTTTGTTTGTTTTGACTCTGTACCTCTTTTCCTCTAGGAAATATCAAAAATATTTTAAAATATTGATTCAATGTGTCGAGAAAATATAATTTTAATACATCTGACATGACAGTATCATTCAAACAGTTCTCTAAAACCATTGACTATTCTACTTGAAGCAAGGATGAGTTTAGCCATAACTGAAAAAGTTTAGGAGAGGAATTTGCATTTGTGTCTTCTACCAACTGTTTGCTTTAGATTTTTACCCCATTTCTAACTGCATTTTGGGACTCCCTGCAAATGGAGGTGACTTCTGGCATGAGAAAGCTAGAGCACAATTTTAATTGCTGGTCCAGATCTTCCAGAGAGAAATGTATCTGCCTGGTGGTTAGAAAGCAAAGAAAGCAAGCCAGTGGGGATAGAGATGCCCAGCAATAGGGATGCCAGTAATCCCAGCTTCTTCCCAGTTAGTGTGTGGCCTCTGTACGAAATAGAGTTGGGAAATGGAGAGTTCCATGAGGTGATATACACAGCCGCCCAGACTGGGGGGTGGAGTGGGAGCTCTGCTGTTAACTCTGTCACAAACAATGATTGTCCAGACATGTTCATGATGGTCCCGCTGTGGCTTTGTTAGAGTGTGCATCCAAACACTCTGTTTTCATGCATTTGGTGAAGTTATTTTGTCCTTTTTGGGACAATCTGAAAGTACCTCATGCAATTTCACCTACTTACAAATTCAAGATAAGTATTTTGGTTTTAACCCCAGTTATTTCAGATGGTAAAAAAGAAATTAGTTTCCTTAAATATGATATATGTGAACTGTTTCAGACAGTCTCTCCTATTCTCTCAGGACTTGAAGGTCTTTTCTCCTCATTGCATATCTTTTATTTTTTAACAACAAATATTTAGCAAAAGGGTAATTATTATAACACTTAAAACATGTCTGCATGCTTTTCTTAGAAAATAGGCCTCTACCAAGAAATCATATGATCTTTTGAGTAGAAAAGAAATCCAAGGAAAGAAATAGATATGCAGGAGTTAAGATTGCAGGAGGAGAGGTGGAAGGAATTTTATGTTCAAATTTATTCTGAGATAGAAAGCAATGAAAAGCTTATCCATAGATGGATAAACATATCTTCAAATATATTAAAAAATATTAAAGTGTACATGCTAGAGTCTGGAATTTAAATAACCCCCAAAGTCCAATGTGTTAAAGGCTTAGTCTCCAGCATGACACTACTGGGAGGTGGTGGCCAAATGGGAGGTCTTTAGGTCATTGAAGGTGTACCCAGGATAGGAATTGGTCCCTTCCTCTTTCTTTTTTCCTCTCTGGCCATGAGATGAACAGTTTTCTTGTGCCACACACTCCCCACCACAATATGCTGCCTTGCCAAAGGCCCAAAAGCACTGGAAAGTGACTATAGACTGAAACCTCAAAACTGTAAACTAAAATAAACCTTTCCTCCTTTATAAGTTTATTGTCTCAGGTATTTCATTACAGCAACAGAACAGCTGACTAACAGTACAAAAGTGAAAAGTGGTACAACTCATAATTCTTACATCTACAACCTAAAGAAATTATGCTATTACTACTTTTTATAGTAACTTACAATAATAGCATTGAGACTTGAGCTTGGTTTGGACAAAAATGAACAAACAAAAAGATTAGTCCCTTCCAGAAAATTTTGAAAAACAGACATGTGAAAACTTGTCCCTTTGGCAAGAAGAAAGACCCAATGATCGACATTCCTCCCTCTTGAGAGAGATTAATGGCAAGGAGCACCTTTTCTAGATTTCAGTCTTTGCTCTCCTTTTGTTTTGTATTGCTTGGGTTTTTCTTATTTTTCTTTATTTAAACTACTCACCAATCTTGACCGAAGTGAGGTTTATCTGCCATGGGAAGACTGACTTCTATTTGAGTTGAATTCCATGAACAACAACGACAACAAAAGGATCATAAAGATATTTGATATGAGCAAACACCTCTTTATTTAATTTTACCCAAATTATGCATTATTATGGGTTTTTTCTTGTGGAGTTGCCTGTTTTAATATGTTTTCAATAGACAACAAGGCACCAGAACACTGGGTAAATAATAGATGTTAAAAATAGCTACTACCTAACAATGTTACTGGAATAATTAGAGAGCAGAAAACTCTCTCACATGAGAAGCCAACTGAAAACAAAGGTTGGCATGAGGCTGTTTCGTTGGTTCTTTTCAAATTAATACAGCACTCTTGTTCCAAACTCATCTCTCCTACTTAAAACTACTTGGGTTGTTTTTGTCTAGTTTGCTTTTCAACTTCCTCTAAAATATACAATAGTTGGGTCCTATCCTTTGTGTAATTTTGCATGTTTTTCTTCTTTTTTATGGATATTCATAGTGCCAGCATACATTTATAGAATATGGGCTATACATATGCCTTGCTCTCACACTCAAAGCAAGGAAATTATTCTTAAAGAAAACCTCATTTCTAGCCACATTCCACTGAGTTGTGCCTATTCAAATGCAATAAGACAAAATTCATTTCTTCATTTGGAGCCTGGTCGCTAAGGAACACAACCAAAACATTCATCTTTGTAATACAACAGAGGACCAGTAGAAACTCTGAAAATTGCCAATATGCTGTACAGAGTGTCTGAGCACTTTTGTATTCAAATCTGGAAGAGGTTTGTAAAATAGTTATTTCTATTCCATGGACAATAGAATACAAGGATGACTTCCACTCCTCTTGAAAAAATTCCAGTAGCTTTTCTAGACTCACAACTTCTCTGGTCAGTTAGTATTTTTAAACAGAAGTCCTATCACTTTTGCTTTTAAATGAAAAATGGGACTCCTAAAAGGTATAAAGGTTCTGACATGTCTCATCAATCCCATCAAAGGAAACCATTTTGTTTTTCTTAAAGACTAATTTCTACAGAGACATGAATCTGACAGAGCAATAAATCTGAATCATTTTCAAATACCTCACCAAACTTTACTGGTCCTGTATAAAAGGTGTTTTCTATCTTAAAGACCTAAAATATTATGATATAATAGCATTTCACAAAGTCCTGAAAAAGATACTTACATTTTGCTGTCACTTTGTATCCTCCCAGAGGAGGGGTGTGTCCTTCCAGGGCATCAAATCCAGTGGAAACCAGGACCATGTCTGGATCAAACTCTTTGGCCACAGGCATCACGACAGTCCTGTACAATAAAAAGGCAACAGTCACACATGGGAATGGCAAATATCTTTAAAAATTGTTCAGTGAAAACGACTTGGCAAAACCTCAAGAACTTCCCAAGAAGAAAGACATAGGGAAAAGAAAACACTGTTTGAATGGATCAAAAACTTATCATTTCCTTAATACTGAAACATATTATTTTAGCATCCCAGTCCAGTCTTTTTTTCTTTCATCTTTTTTTTTTTCTCCAAATTGAAAAGAAAATGCTCTGCAGGTACATTCTAAAGGCTGTCATAATGCATTCACATCTGTAGTTGTTTTATCCCACTGCCTATAAAAAAAAAATCCTGCTTCTTCCAAGGGAGTGACTAATGTTTTACAGAGGAAAGTCGGAGCTTTAGCAAAAACCTAGCTTGCTCTAGTTAGTGAGAACTTGGTGTAAATTTAAACTATAAATTTCTTTTGGGAAAAAGTTTGCTTTCCCAACGTTTTTTAGAAATATTTTTAAATATTTGTCATGGTAGGGGGTGACTCTTGCAAAGGAAAAACACAAAATTCCCTTAATAGAATCCAGACTATAGTGTTAAGTGAGTCCAAGGTCAGACACACCAGGAATGTGGCAGAATCATCCCTGACAGCAGCCCCTGCTGGCCTCTCAGACACGTCAGCACTTACCTTTCCTGAGCCGCCCAACCCCTCTCTCACCCATGCTAGTTTTGAGAGAAATGACTAATGGATACCCCTGGATTTTAGAAAAAATTAAAAATTTTAAAATAGACTTCAGGACCAGTGGACCACCATAAAATTTCAAATTTCAAAGACTATTTAATAAATCGAGGAAACTGCCCACTATCATGAATTTTACAAGTACTGTGTGTTTGTGAGAAATAACTAAATCATGAACACAGACATCCTTGAGTGGTAGAATAATTAATTGCTTAAATTTTTTCCTTTGTAAATTTCCTGATGATCATCTGTTAATTTTATATTTAAGTTTTTAACTGCATGTTCTCAGTTGTTGAATTTAGAAAATTTAAAAAAACGAATTGAAACTTATCTAAAAGAGATATGTTAATTCAATGTTTTTTTTCTAGTGACTCCACAGCTATAATATAAATTAGTTCTTCAAATAATAAATGACACGTATGTAAGATACTTACATGATAGTCTTTCCAACAATTCGAAAGGCACGCAAATCTGATTTATCCATCAGTAAAACTAAATAAAAACCTAACATTGGTTGTGATGTAAAATTTCATTGCTTCTTTCAATAATATTAAGAATCTCTACTATAACAAGACACCCGTGGCTCATGTTTATAAATCCTAGCTATTTGGGAGACTGAGATCTGGAGGATCTCAGGGTTCAAGGCCAGCCAAGGCAAATAGTTCTCAAGACTCCCATCACTAAAATAACCACATTAAAATGGACTGGAGGTGTGACTCAAGCAGTAGAGCACCTGCTTTGCAAGTGTGAAGCCCTGAGTTCAAATTCCAGTCCCACAAAAAAAGTCTCTAATATAGCTATGTTATCTGGAAAGATAGATAACATTCTTGCCCTTCCCTAATAACATCAATTCTTACTTTATTGTTTTCCTAAAAAGTATCACATATGACTATCAAGTCACTATTTTTCATAGAAGCAAACTAGCCACGTGTCATTGAGATGCTGGAATATAAGTTCTCTCAAAGAATCAAGAGTGTCTTATCAAGATATTCTCTTTAGCTTCACGAATAATATGTCCTCTGTTAGAGAACAAATGACGTGTTTTCTTCTGAAGTAAACAGCACATTTGTGATATACATTAATCCTGAATTTACAAACACATGTTTTTACAATTTCACAAAGGTTTTCAAAGTGCTTCATCTTACGGAACTAATCCGATACATGGCAACTTACTCCAAAAATAAGAAAATGATGGAAAAAAAGCATACTATATGATAGATTCCTTCCACATAAGATTATATATTACTAGTGTCTGAGTTGTATTTGTTCAATGAAATACATGTGCATGATTAGAATAGAGCTGTGTGATGTTATGACTCAAAATATTCTTTTATTTTGCAATTACACTGAAGGATTGGCTGAAGGTGGCCACAGATGATTATAGATCTGGTAATGATGATAACGTTTTCATTCATTCATTTCAACCAAGGATGTACTGCATTGCAAGCACTGTTTTGGCTTCAGTGGGCTCAATTTCTAACTGAATTTTATTTATTTTTCTATAGTTGACATTAATCATCTGTACCTACCTCTTTGATAAACTGATAAAACTAAGACTTCACAGATACCTCCCTCCCTCTCTCTCTCTCTCTCTCTCTCTGTGTGTGTGTGTGTATGTGCGTGTGTGTGCACAAGTCTTTCTTTCTTTCTTTCTTTCTTTCTTCCAGTACTGTGATTTTCATCTGGGCCTCATACTTTCTAAGCAGGTGCTTTACCACTTCAGCCATACCACCACCCCTATAGGTCTCTTTAGTTTGGCAATTTTTTAAGAACCACCATGGAAATGTTTTCTCACTTCTATTTATGCCAGTCTAGATTGATATTTATTCAAAAGTTCCATAGTATCTTCTATGGTTTGAATATCTTTCCAAAACTCATGTTGAAATTTAATGGTCATTGTTACAATATGAAGAAGTAGAGAGTCTAAGGAATGACTAAGCCATAAACGGGTAATGCCATTGTCATGGGAGCAAGCTTCTAATAAAACGATGTTTGCTCATTTTTTTCTGTCTTGTGTATGCTTGCTTGCTTTTCCACCATTTTATCACACAGCACAGAAGCTGTGCCAGATGCTAGCACAACAGTCTTTTACTACCTTGTCTCCAGAAGCATTAACCAAATAAATCTCTGTTTTATGTCAATTATGTAGTTTCAGGGATTCTGTTATACCAACACAAAATGTCTATGACAGAGTGTGAAAGACTGAAAAACTTTTATGAGAGTACTGAGAAGCAAAAAATGTAATTTTTATTGGAACAAAACCTTAAAGCCACTCATTTAAAGTTTTATCTGAAGAACTTATTTTTTCCTGGTTAAGGATGGCAAACAAGGCACAGATGGTTGTGTGGGCTAATACATATTTCTTAATAACAATGACACCCCATTAATTAATTACTACCAAAATACTGTTTTCTAAAATTAATTCTCAATGAAAGGGTCCAGGGATCCTTAGAAAAGTGATTGATTCCAGAACTGTATTACAGAAAATACAAGGTAACTCTGGAACATCTTATGGTGACAGAAAATAATGAAATGCTCAAAAACAGATAAGGACATGTTGACAGGCATATGAACTAATGCAAAAGAGCCCATAATAGCCAAAGCTGGAACTATTTCAGGAACAAAATAAATGATGATAAACTGGACTATAATCCATAGAATCCAATAAGTATTCATGAATCTATAATATGATAAACATATAGATAAATAAATGGAGAGGAGAGGAAGCAGCTTTTCCTTACAGAAATTATCAACTAAATAAATGTAGATGAATAGAAAAGAAGGAAAATTGCAGCTCAGTGAACCTGGGAATGCTGCTAATGTCTGGGTAAGAGATGACTACAGGAGATCTGACATGGACCTGCTGAAAAATTTAACCAATGAGTGAAAGTTGCAGTGGTCAGTCTGAAGATCATTGTGGATACAGGGCTCCAAGCCTATGGCTGGCAGAGTTCTCAGCCTCCACCTTACAACTATGTGGGGATTGGTTCTAGCAGTGATTGAGACATCTGAGCTCAGGTGCTATGGTTTATGTGATTTTCCAGACTACTCCCTTATACATGGAGCCTAACTTCTGGGTCAAGTCTGAAAGCACTGACACCAGCAGGTAGAGTGCCTGATTCTCTCAATTCTCCCTGTCTGGCTCAGAATTCAGTGCTCTGTTTTTTCCCCCCAATCTCCAACACATTAAGGGGATACTCCTAGGCTTAGATGCTTGCTGCCCTGGGAGCACAAATTGGGGGAACTGTGGAGCAAATGGTAACCTATCCAGCCCACAGGCTGTAAACCTCCTCATGGCCAGCAGCAGTTCCCAGTACACAAAGAGAGCAAATGGCTCACACCAGGAACGAGTGGCTCAAACCTGAAATCCTAGCTTCTTGGGAGGCTGAGATCAGGATGATCATGGTTTTAAGCCAGCTCAGGCAAAAAGTTTGTCAGATCCCATTTCAACTAAGAGCTGGGTGTGATAATATGCACTTGCCACCCCAGCTATGTGGGAGGCTAAGATCCAGAAGATCACATTTCTAAGCCAGTCTGGTCAATGAAGTTTGTGAGACTCCATCTCAAGAGAAAAAAGCTTGGCATGGTGGAAAGGGTAATTAAAGGATTGTGATCCAGAACAGCCTAATCCAAAAGTGAGACCCTAACTCAAAAGTAACCAGAGACATCAAGGATGGAGGAATGGCTTCAGTGATAGATCATTCACCTAATAAGCCCAGAGTTCAAAGCCCAGTACCATAAAATAAATGAATAAATAAATAAATAAATAGAAGAAGAAGAAGAAGTTTCTAACGTGAAAGCAACCCTGAAGTAGACTACTTTCCCAACCAGCCCTCCCTCAGCCCATATACAGCAACAACTTGTACCCCTAGGAACTAAAGATACCTCAGCTAGTTTTTTTCTTTCTGAGTGGTGCTGGTGAGTAGGCCTGGTGCCTTGAGCACATGAGCAAATGTTTGGCTACTGAGCTACGTACCCAAGTCCAGTGGCAAGAAATTACACATAAACTCTGCTATTGCTAAGTCCTACCTAAACATTGAGACTACTTCAAGGGAAAGGCTATAGGTGATTAAAACCTATAACCAATGACTTTGGTGACAAAAACATAAATCTCAACACAAGAAATATGAAAAAAAAGGAACAATATGATTCCTCCATCTGTTACAATAACATATTGGTAATAATATTAAAGTGAATGAAATTTCAGACAAAGAATTAAAAAGAATAATTATAAAAATTATTAATGAACTTAAAGAGGACACAAACACTTGAATGAATTAAAGTAGCATACAAATA